AGATATTAGCTTCATTGTGAAAAACATGCATTAATGAAACTAGATAATTATTCCCTAAGCTAAGTAACACTGTAGGGTCAACTACCTGGTAACGGCTTTGGTTTTGCTCTTATTCAGCTAAATAGCAACATTTATGACTTCGTACATCAACAAATGTGGGTTCTCCAATTTGCTTACATTTAAAGTAACCTCAGCTTCTTGAAAAATTCATCATACGCACAAGCTTGTTATGGGTCTTGACAGTAGGTCCAAGGATAGCAGCTAGGCCATAGATCATTCCTTCAGGCATTTTTAACAGCTGGCTCATTCCCTTTGGAGATTTCTAAGGTGTATTAGAAATTCTCAGTTGTAGATGTGGGACCAATCTCTAGACTCCAGATTTCTAGTCTCTAGGCTTCATCCTATTACAATCATGCAAAAGTGGTAGAGGCCTACTTATATGGCAGGTGTAGGCATCTGCCTTGTAGACATCTGTATCTGTTAGCTGAACCTTATCTTTAATTTATGAATTTCTATCTCTAGAATAGATACCTAACATAGTAAAACTACCATTCCTGAAAGAATAACACCTAAAAAAGCCAGAGTCTGCATTGTTTACAGATGATTTAGCATCTTAAAGCTGGCCTGGCAGAAGAAAGAAAGAATGTTTCCCTTTCTTGATTCACACTATTGATTCACACTGTTGAGCTATGACATTTCATCACAGATATCTATCTATATATGTAGATATAAATATATATATGTTTCTGGAAAGTTCATCATGCAATCACCACAGCTCTTCATCAGTCAGAAGGGTCATCACCAGACTCCATTATTTAACCACTTGTGCATCATGTCTTTGAGCTGTTTCCTGGAAATTTTCACCAAAGGAAATGGAGTTTGCTGAAATGCAGAGTGAGAATCTTTCCCCGAGCTTGATTATATGGGAGTGTTTCAGTTATCCAGTTCCACTGAATAACCTTGAGAACTGTAGAAAAGTTTTTGCCTTTGCAGCTTGAGCTTTTATCTGATTCAGCCATAGGCCTAAATCTTTGTTTGCCTTAGAACAGCAGTCATTCAAAAGCACTCACTGTATAAAAATCTTCTCGTGTAGATGCAGTCTTTTACCAGTGATGTTAACTCAGCATTTTAATGGGATGCAGGGGCCTCTTAAATACAGACAGTATTTCAGCTGCGTGAAGCTTCAGACAAGACAAAGCAACATAACCTCCCGGAAAAGACTGTGGTATCAGCTCCTAGGCTGTCCTGAGGTAGATGTAGATGCTGTGGAGTGTAATGTTCGTATCCAGCAGCTTGATTGAGCTCCAAATACTAAAACATGTCCTAGAAAGGCATTTGCAGTATTATTAACAGCCATTAGCTCACAGATGCCAGATTTACATGAGGGCATAAGAGCCCTTACGAATTCTGAAACATCTGGCAAATGGGATCAGGAATGCAATTTTCTTTGGTTTTGACTCATCCACTGAGACGTGGTTCCTCTAAGTCTGCTTGTGAGGTTTATTGCGGGGCTAGGACAAATATAAATATCTCTTAGTGCCCAGCAGTGGGCACCAAGTGGTGCTGAGAGATCGTCAGGACCTCAGATATCTCCTGTGCACTCGTTGCTTTATTGTTTCATAGCATCACAGCAATGCCTAGTCACTGTCAGGCAGATGCTTCCATGTTTCCAGAGGCTTCCAAGCTCTCAGTAGTGTTCCTCAGGGGTCAGTACTGGGATAGGCACCATTTAACATCGTTGTTGGTGACTTGCACCCTGGGATTGAGTGCTCCTTCAACAAGTTTCTGATGACACCAAGCTGTGTGGTGTGGTCAACATGCCGGAATTCCACTTGGTCTAGTGGAAGGTGTACCTGTTTATGGTACAGGGGGTGGAATGGGATGGTCTTGAAGGCCCTTCCCAACCCAAACCATTCTGTGACTCTATGATTCTATGTTCCAAAGGATGAAGTCCAGAATTGTTTTGTTTTGAAACCTGCAGGTCAACTCACTTTGTTATGATCACATTAGAGGGTGACAGTTTCTTACACAGACTCGATCTTTGAATAGCATTTGTATCAGACTCCTACATTAGATTTTGGGTGGAGAAGTAAACCAAAGTTACAATGGTAGTTTCCTATAAGCTTGTGTTTTAACAATTAGCTTGAAGTACAGTAATGGTGTCTTCAGCCTGTGGCCAAGAGCAGGTAAGATGAAAGAGATTGTAGCTTTTCTTTCTTTTTTCTTCCAAAATCTGATGCAGCTCTGAAGCATGAAGATTTTTATAACCACTTGGTCAAAGAATAGTATCAGCCTTGCAAGGAACAGGATCCAAAATCATATTAGAGCTGGGTGCACCACCACCTGTGGTTATCCCTTACTCAGGTTGCTTCACAGATCATTGTCACTGTCCCCATCTACTGTGATGCCCTACTGCCACAGTATGTTTTGATCATTAATCAAAGCTTTCTATGACTCTGATCATAGCTGGAGTGCACATAAATTAAACAACAGCACACAGTTTGTGTCAAAAGAATAAATAAAATCTATTATAAAAGCTCTAGTCATCATCCAGTGATACCTACCTAACAAACAAAAAGGAACATATGTAATTTCAAATAGTTTTCAAAGTTATATCTTAACAGCTTTATGAACAAAAGGCAATTGATGGAACCTGGGAGGTTTTCATACCATCAGTTGATTATATTGTAAAATGGCTGCATAGGAAGAGAAATCCTACTTTAAGAAGTGTAAAAGGATTGGATATCAGGAAATAAAAGCACTTTACTGAACAGTAGTGCCTTTATAAACATTCTGACCTTAAACATATTGTTTCAGTTTACCATTATCATATTTAGAGATTACTTCAAGTGTTGATATCTATTTTAGATGCCACAATCATTAGCCTGAGATTTTCCAGTTACTTTACATCAGAACTCTCTCAGTCCTAACAATAAAGACATTTGAGACCAAAATTTGTTCTGAGATGTAATTTTGTATGTTTGGGGATTACATAATTATAGACTGATTATGTATTTGAATTTACATTTCTGTTTTGCATTCTTAATATAGTTGAATTAGTAATCTCAGAAAAAAAAATCAATGTTATTTCTATACATTTTAAAGCACCCTTTTCCTATTTATTCTCATTCATGTCTACAATAATCATCATCAATAGTATTATGAAATCTATATCCAATTTTAAGATAAAAAATTAAGTAATTTGCAAGGATAACTGCTTTCCAGAGAAAAGAACTCCATAAGAACAGGTTCACCAATAACCAGCCCACACTTCAGAAGGATTAACAAGTAAGTATATTTGAGTGCTGCACCTGAGAATGCTAAACCACGACAAACAAGGAAAAGCACTCATGCCATGTATTAGGTAACGTGAAAATATCAGGGAAAAATGAATTTCACATTACTGAAATCTTCTGAACTTCAGGAATTTTTTTGTATAATCTTAATCAGCTAATTTAATAAATTTTGTCTTTGGGAACCAAATTGCATTAAATTAAAATGGCAACAAGAAATGAGAATTAAAAAAAGCTGTTTTTCACAAAACCAAGGCAAACAACCTATATTCTACTTCTTTCTTACACTTTACTTCTTCATATAAATTTTCTGTTTATCTTTTTGGCATTAGAAACATCATGCCAGCTATAAAATAACACTTGAAGTATATATATATATATTTTTTTTTTTTAAATACTCATTTTCACAACCTTCACACTTCCTACTTGTCAGGTCCTGGAAAGTCCTACAGAATAAACTAGAGTTCAGAGTGATTTATTCTGACATATGATAGACCAGAACACTCACTTACTATGATAAAAGAAGGATGAAAGGAAATTTCCAGAAATGGTACAGAGTGACAGAGCTGCACAAACACAGGATTTCAGTCGCTAGTAACAAGCTCATCCAGTTGAAAGCCCAACTGGATCTAAAGAACAAAAATCATAGAACCATAGAATGGTTTGGGTTGAGAGGGACCTTCTAGATCATCTAGTTCCTACCCCATCACCATGGGCAGGGATGTCGCCCACTAGACCAGATTGCTCAGGGCCTCATCCAACCTGGCCTTGAACACTTCCAGGGATGGGGCATCCACAGGTTCTCTGGGAAAAATATCTTCACCCTGAGAATGGTAAAGTACTGGGACAGGAGCCCACAGAGGCTGTGGAATCTATGTCATATAACATTTTCTCAAGTCTCGTGAATGAAGCCCTGATCCAACCACAAGGTTAGCCCTGTTTTAAGGAGGAGGTTAGTGACTGGAAGTCCCTTCCAACTGAAATTATTCTATTATTCTCTGATTGTCTTCTCCCTCAGAAGATATCAGCTCGCTTGGAAACTGACTTCATCTTCCTCCAAAAGAGTTTAATTCATACACGGACCTGACATGACCCTACAAACCTTTCAGACAGTGGTTTGCAATCTTTATTAATCTGTGGACACGAAAATATTCCCAGTGGTGGTCCAGATCTTCCAAGTAGCTTTATATCTCCTCAGAGGAGGTTTCTTTTCTTTTGTTAGTTCTCACAGATTCTTTATTAATAGGACACAAATGCCTATGTGTCAATATGCCACATTGAAAACTCTTATTTTTATGGTTATAAAGACAACAATTTTCGATCAGACTCAACAGATTATTGTGCAACAATATCCTCTCTGAAGAAATAAATTTGCACTTAGTAGTCTGTGCTCTCTTTGCCTGTCTTTTTTCTTTCCAGACTCCACTTAAGTAAACAGTCTAGAAACCACAGAACATCATATGCCATTTTTATGTAGGAGAATGCAGACATCTTTTCTCCCTTAAAATACCATGAAATGAGAAAAATAAGCTACTTGGCATTTATTGGAAAGGAAAATTACAAGGAAGTTTTACTGAGAAACTTACCTTTTCTACATATTAACACAGAAAGTCATATGGAAAATGCATTCATGGAAACAGTGAGACTCAGAAATATATTTCTTATTCTACTTCTCATATAAAAGAATGGAGGAACCTTCTTAATTACCTGTTTCCATTTTCCCATCTTGTGCTGCAGGCCCATCAGGAATAACACTCTTCACCTGGAGAAACTCATCCGGCTCGTCCCCACCAATGATGGTAAATCCAAACCCCATGTTGCTTTTCTTAAGAGTTGTGCTGAGGAAAGTCCCTTTCAGCTGTGATGCATCACGGGTGAAGAGTGGTTTTTCTACATCAGTCAACACAAACAAGAAAGACAAAAGTTCTGATCTAATCACAGCACAGAAGGGACAGCTGACAGAAAGTGACGGTGTATGAAAAGCAAGAAAACAAAGGGTGCAGGCATTCCAGGAAAAATACTTGTGAGTTCTTGTATTAATACAAAACTTAAAACATCTTTCTTATCTATGGCAGACCAGCCATAAATGGGGAGTTATAAATATTCTTTCATATTAGAAATACATTTAGAAGTGGATATTGTGTCACTAAAATAATTACAACAATAAAAATGATCTGTGAGGTAATTTAAAAACCTCTTTCCTAACCCATAAATTCTGCTTTGTCTACAAAGTAATACATTCTCCACAATTTCCCTTCCAACCACAACGAGGAAAATATCCCCTGTGAACATCTCATTCCATTTGTTACCAAGAAGAGCTAAACATTAGGTGAGCTTTTCCCTGCAGACACACAGGGGTTCTGGCATCCAACAAGTGACACACACAACTTCTGTGCAACCTTCGTGTCCCCTCTCCGCGTGCCTTGGTGTAGTGTGGGTGGTGGGGGGCTCCCCATGCTCCTCTCCCATGCTGCACGTGGTGAGGAAGGGTTGGAGGAAGGTGTGAAGGTTGTGAATTGAGCTGCTCCGGCTGCGGCCGCAGCGGTGGGGCTGGGCTGGTGGCAGCGGAGCACGTACCGTACAGCCTGCGCGTCCCGGCGGGGTCGCGCCGCCACTGGGACAGGTCATTCACGCTGCGGGACCTCCTGAGGGCGAGGCGCAGGCGGGCAAATTTGGGTCTAGGTAAGGTTGATGAGGAGCTTTCTACTGTCGCAAAGGAGAACAAGCCTCATTCTCTGGCTATAGCCTCACATTTAAAGCTCATTCGTCTCTACCAATACTGTTTGCCGGTTACACAGCTCATTTTAAGCACATTAATTTTTACGTTACTAAGTGGCTGTATTCTTGTAAACTCCTATAACACTGTGCTTGAGGCTTTTAACTTAATTGATGCTTGCTAGATGAGCTAGCTTAGAAACATACCAAACATCAATTAAGAGTAATTTACAGAAAGTACAATTAATTATTTCAGTGTTGCCAACCTCAACAAGTGCTCAAGAGAGAGTACATTCCCAGGGACAGAATTTATGATTTTATTTAGAAAATTACTTTAGGGCTCTTATTGTACTTTCAGTTTCTCAGCCTTTAGGAAACACTAGATTCAACTTTTCTGACTTTTCTCTGCACCTCTGAAGCTTAGGCATTTTAGGTGGCTCATGAGTCCTGCAACTATTGGAAGTCAGACATTTAAGGGAGAAAATTGTTAGGATATAGGTGATAACATTGTGAGAATTGGCAACACTACTCTTCTAATCAGACTATGACAAAACCATTGTCACATACCCAGGAGAGCAGGAACTTTCATCTTAACTAAGATGAATAACACAGTACTGTACCTCGGAAACCTTGGGCCTGCATAGGCTTTGTTCCAAGTTCTGCGTTGGGCATGTTATGCTGCTGTAGCTTCCTTTTTGCTTCTAGGACAGGGTTTTCAAATTGAGTTCTTCTATTTATGTGGCTGGAAAAAATTTGGTTTTGATTAAAAAATGGGTTCACTTGGGGAAAGGGAGGAAATAATGTGTGTGACTAAGGTGTGTGCGGTCAGAGAGCGAACCGTTATGAACCCCCAACGGGCCTGAGCACGTCCCTTCTACTCCACACAGTTTTGCTGGGGACAATCTGTGCCGCATAATGAACAGCACTGAGCAGTGTCCTATCATTTCAATATGCCCAATTCTGCTACAGACAAATGGTTTTGATCAGTGGGACAACATATTAAACAGCAGTACTGCTGAAGCATGCTACAGCAACAGTTTTTCATGTCTTCAGCATGAGCACTGTTCTGTGCATGATTCAAAGGCTCCGAACCAGTTTTGTGCATTATTATTGATTAGCTTTAAGTGAAATTATTCCATCACTTACAGCAAAGGAAAAGCCTAGAACACAGAGTGCTCCTATGATAGCAACTTAGAAATAAATCTAGCATAGAAAATAAACTGAAGATTATTCCTTTCTAATACTGTGGTGTATGTTTGCTCAGTTGTACAGAAAAAATTGGATGCAGAAACTAAGTCAGATGGTAGATTAGAACTATATAGATCAGTATATGAAATATAAGAAAAGTTAGGGTACACATTTTTTCTTGAAGTTTTGCATTTCCTACTATAGATCAATAAGTACATCTCTGTCATTACACCACTATTTTTCTGTATTTTGTTTAGAACTACTATCTTAATTACATACATCTTATCATATCCTTGATTTTAATTCTCTAAAGCACACATTTTATCAGTCACTGAGCAGTCCTACAATCCTGTCTTGGGATACACTTCACACGTTGTCTGAAGGCAAAACAATTTAGTAGGCTGCATGGAACAAATCTGAAAGATAGGATCACAACTAAGAAATGGGGCTTGTGCTTCAAACATTCTTACAGGGAAGTAAATACATTTGTACAGAAGGGCAGGCTTTCAAACGTGCTTATTTGTTCTCAGTGGGCTACTGTCTATTGAGTTCTGAAAATCTAATCCCAATCATGGGCTTTAAGCACTTGGAAAGGTGACCTGGGAACTTTTGAAATGCTAAGATTCTAAAAGGGTTGAATACCTTCAATTTTCATTGAAATGACCTTTTGTGCCACATTAAGCACTTTTCAAGTTCCCTGGGATTCTGATCCTACCAGTGCTTCAGAGAAAGTAAGTGGAATTGTCATTAGGAAGTGAGGTAGAGGAAAGGCAGCAAGTCCTATGGGATTGCAATACACTTGCTAAATAGGATTTAGTGGCCAGGGTTAATGCAATGAAAAGACTTCCAGTCATGTAAAAGAATATTTGATTTAATGAGACAAATGTGATAATTCCTAAAGTTGCTACTTTAATGGCTGTAAGTCATTCAAGTGGCTGCTAACTTACTTTTGTACTCTAAAATTTTGATTAATAGTTTTCTTGTAAATTTTAATCTATGCTGCAGACAAAGTCCCTTTCCTTCTTCAAAACAGGATGTTTAAGATGGTAGACTTTCCTTTCCTAGATTTTTACTTGTCATTTCTATTAATTGTCAGGGTCTTCAGCACCTTAGTCTATTGCAAACCTTGAAACTTATGATGGAACAGAGACAAACTTTCCTAGGTAAAAATAGAGAAAGACAAGACTTACACGCATTAAAGAAGGTAATCATGAACTACTAACATAAGCATGAAAAAAGTACGTTTCATGCTGCCACCTATCATGTGATGTATTTCCATACTGTAAAGGAAATACTACTCTTGCCATTACCCAAGACAGTGATAACTATCAGGTGAAATACTACATAAAGTTATAACCACCCATGATCAAATAAAATGAATTTATAGGAAAGGTTTTACAGGAAGACTAGTGAAAGAGAGTCTTCTATGGCAGAAGATCAAAGAAGTTTTAGCTTTTTATTCGAGCAGAATTAATTCTGATATATAAATGCATTCTATGAATACATTTGGATGTAAATACTAGAATGTATTAAAGATGTCAGGATTTCAGACTTGAAATCTGTCTTCTCACAAGGAGAAATGGGAAGTTGCAAAACAGCTTCCAGTAGGAGATACAGGGTACAATATCTACCTTGTTTTATGTTAGCATTTGATAAGGTTAAAACCAGGGTTGCTACAGCATAGAGATCATATCTTATTTAGAGGCTCTAAAGTATCCTGCCCTGTTCTTCATCGGTCACCCAGAAGAGCCTGGGTTTCCCATGGCTTTTGTGTCATATTCTGCAGATGTAATGGGTATCCAAGATGACAGTCCAGATCTTCATTTAGAATCTTGAACTATGTTTAGTGTCATGTTTTAATTGCAGGGCACATCTCAGTGCTGCAGGAGGGCTCTCACAGACCTAAGTTCCAATTTATATGTGGTTCTGTGATAGAAAAAAGGATGGAATTTTAGCTAACATACAATGTGCCCATTGCTCAAGGAACAATAGTTACTGTGGCACTGATATCACAGCTAGAATCTGTTTTCTACTGCCTATCTACAGTTTCTAGGTAGAGTTTGGTCCACTTAACAGAAATGTCTTTGATAACAGCTATCTTGAAAATGACACTTTGTCCTATCAGATCAGATAAGAAGACTAACAGAGTTACTTGAAACACCTCAAGTTGTTTGTGCACTCTTAATAATTTTTAGCTTCAATTTATTCCCATATTTTGACTGTTTTGTGGTAGTATGCAGTTTCAAAAGGACAATGTGAAATTCAAAAAACTGCATTAAATATTGTGTCAAAGAGAATCCAAAGAAAAGAAAATTATTCTGATGATCAGTCATTTTTATCAGTCAGTAATAATGGATTATGCTCCCAGACTGATGATACATAAAACATGTCCCTTTTATGCAATTTTAAGTTCTATAAAGCTTCATGGCTAAATCAGAAAAATAGCTCCTGATGAGTTTACTTGAGAAAGAAATTATTAAGCTAAGTAGTTCTCTTGAAAGGACTTCTAGCCTTTCATCTAGCTACTTCAACATCATACAAAATAGATATTACTAACCTAGGCCTTAGTAAGACAAGCCAAATGTGAGTTTTAGAGATGGTTACAAATAAGTGCTTTTGAGGTTAAAACAGATTTTGGATAGTAGCCCAAAATGTATTGCTCATTTCTCATAGTGTCTAATTCAGTGAACAATTCTAACCTCAGTTTTCTTCCCTTACTTTATATAATGTATATTAAATCTGAATGACTAATCCAAAGCCTAATCCAGCTAATTTCTCCTAGTGCAGAAGAATCATTCAGCCTTTTGTTTGCTTTCTAGTCCTCTCAACCCTGAATTTCCCTCTGCAGAAAAGAAGGGGTAGCTGGTACTGCTGTCCTCTGTTAGCTCACCATATCTTAAGTGGGGACAAACCCTCAAAGGTAGGATTTACTTTGGGGTTGCATTTACTTGTGAGGTCAAAATACTATCCCTGTGTTATGAGGAGGTACTGTTAGCACCAGCCAGCCTATAAGACATGTCATGAGTCACTGTGGCCAGACTAAGTTGGTTTTGTGATGGAGGTTCACATTAGATGTGCTTAAGACTACTGAAACACATCCTTAGGAGATTTATGGGCAAGAGTCCCTAGTTTGCAGACTTTAATTCATGGCCAAGGTGCTGAGCCCTGACAAAATGGAAGTAGGTCTAAGCATGTGCACCAGCAGAAGGAGTTTAACCTATCTCCTTTTCTTACCTGCTTTAATGTATGGGTTTTTTTGGTAGTTTGCGACTACAGCTTTTGGAATTGTTGCCTATAACCCAACAAAGAATCAGGATGCCTAAAAGATGGACATTCTAATGTATAACTTGTTAGTGCCTAGCTCCTCTTTACATTCACACTTTGCAGTTAATAATACTTTATAATGACAAAAAGACCTGAAATAACCTTTTCTATTTGAGTAGTAACAGAGCATTTTCAGGAATTTTAAGTCAAGGAGGTATATTTTTCCAGAATAACTACCTGTATGGCTAATTTAGCTGTTCAATTAAGCAGACCATGTCTGGAAATTGAGCTCTGTGTTTTAGTTAATCATCCTTAAAGAGAGAAACAATCTTTTGGCAATTAGAATACTGAAAGACCCAGTGCACTCTAATAACTACTTTCTCTCCATAGCCCTGCACAGCTAAGTGTTGCTAGTTCTTAGTTTATAAATTAGGACCAGATTGCATGAAAGTGAGCAAACATACAGCAAACACTTATTTATGTCAAATGTCTACTCCTTACAAACGAAGTCTGGACCTGCATATCAAGGCAAATCAAAATTATAGTAAGGTCTCACACCTACATTCATGCATGATTAAGAGAGGAAGTTATATTAGAGACCCTTTTTCTTAACAGAATTTGCAAATACATTGTGATTAGTCTTTATTAACTTCACTAGCAAGAGGTTTTTCTTTATTTATTTTGTTTTGTTGGTTTTTGGTTTTTTTTTAGCTTTGCCTCTGGTCTCAGAATATTTAAGCTGAGAGTGGCTGCTTCTCGTAAGGTGAAACAGAGCCTGTCTGTCTCACTGCTCATCCTCACAAACAAGAATCAGTGAGCAGATTACAAGCCCTTCCTTCACTGACAGTTTTGTAGGCCTGCCTGTAAACTTGGACTGGACCTGAATGCGTGGAAATTCATAACCTTGCTTTTCATGATTTACCCTGTTTTATGACATAATTAAGAGAGTTTATTGTAATCTGATTTTATCTAGTTAAAAATGAACTCATCTGTTGAATACTGTTAATAAAAAAGGTGTGACTGTTACGTTTTAGCAGGAAAAATGGAAAGCAATCTCTGTTTCAAACTTATTGAGCTCAGACAGCAAATTAAAGTGCAGCTATGTTTTACTGTCTATAAAACTCCATATGAATTTAGTGCAGCTGCAGTTTTAATGCCATCCCGTGAACATCTATTTTACTTCTAAAAACCTTTGAGACTGCAGTGGGTTTGCTGTATCCACAAATCTTATCTGTGGTAGGATTAATAAATTTGTCAGTAACAGCCCTAAAGTATGTAATTGCATGATAACATCTGGGCCTGGTTCCTTATGTCTGTTTACCTGTGGTTGGACATGAAATGGAGATAAATACTTGTTCCTTTTCTGACTCTGAAGTGTGAGCCTCCCCAGTACCAGAATACCTTGGGTCATGCTAACAACCAAGTGGGGTCTCGGCAAGTGATTAATGCACAGAAATCACACAACACCTGTTACTCACCAAAATACACTAAACCCAATGGGACAGAAGACTTACTTACACTCAGCAGCTGCATAATTGCACATGCAGAAATCTTCAGGGAGATTAAGTACAAAGAGATACGAGAACTCCAGCCCTTACGCACTTGGGGACATCATAAAAGAACTTGGGCAGAATGAGAGGGAGTAATTTAATGGTATTACATAGGGACTTCAAAACTTATCTTTTTGCTTGAATCTGGGCTGACTAAACTGGCTTGGGCTGACCAGTTGGGACAGGTATCACGATTCTGATTCCAGAGTCACTTTGCATGAGACTCATTCACTGTGTTAAGGTAAAAAGCAGAGAAATTCAACTCTCAGATTTACTTATTCTATGCATGAACTGGCCAGGTTCTATTATTACCTTGAACAAAAGCCTTCTGTTACCCTTTGCATAGAGGAATAAGTTTTTTTTCTTGTTTCATGACTAAAAATCTGAAAAAATGAATGCAGGGATTATGCTATGAAAACAGAATTTATCTTGTCTTTGTTTCAGCTGCACTTTTAAATACAAAATAAAACACAATATCCCTAAAATTTTATATGCATCATATAAATAATCCACCTTCTGGTACAAACAGTATAAACACCTGATTTGCAGCAAGGAAGGACTACCCAGATACGGATCTTAACTGAGCTAAAATGATTAGGATTTGTTTTGTTCATTGATTAACAAGGTTTCTACTTCACTGGATATTCAAAGCTCACATAGAAAATGCAACATTTCTTTAATGAATATGATCTTTGTACAAGTATCAGCTGGAATAGTACCATGAAACCAGACCCTGGAGAATGACTGAATGCTTGAGTCACTGATTTGAGACACATTGGATGTATTTGGACACATGAGCTGCATTGATGACTGAGAATTCCTGGTATACCCTTAGTTTAATATGTCAAGTAATTGTACCCATTCCTTGCCAGATTAAGCATTGCAGAGGATACTACTATTAGGTTATGACATATTAATAGTAACTTAATATTGAACTTGGGAACTTACTCAACATAATAAGTGCCATAAATGGGATCATCAATTTTCTCCCAGCCATATGGAAGTTCTGAAAAACAAAGAGTTATCTCTCTCAGTAAATACAGTACAGAAAGCTAAGATTTCTAATAACAAAACTGTGGATCTTTGCTGGGTGTTGAGGAAATAGCTTGATAGAGAAATTAGATACAGTGACCAAAGCAAATGCCAAACCTTGAACACACCCCATGGCAGCCACAAGTAGTAGTAACTTGAAAATTGGTATGCAAACACAGATATAAGTCTCTAGAACAGCACATTTTAGTTGAGCTCCTTTATTGTTAAAACAGTTATGCCAGCCAACAACTCTAGCACATCTTATGTGACATCACTGCTAGAGGAAGTGAGGGCATTCAGTTTTCCCAAATAGCTACATACAAAAAAAATACTTTGGTTTTTGAGCTTTTTTCCTAGGAATATTGGAAAAGTTGGTCTAGAAGGAACGAAAAGAGTTTGCCTCCTGCCATGTAAGTACAGTGACTATACTGAAATGTTCCCAAGAAGTTTGTTCCCATCTTACTGTGATGGCAATTCCACAGCCTCCAAAGACATCCTGTTCCAAAGCTTAGTTATAAATCAGGGACATAGGAGTATGCAGCAGTATATGGAAGTACAAACCAAAATAAGATATTATAGTTTCCTCTGTATATAAAGCTAACTAAATTTTGCAGAAACAGAGACCCCTAAAACATTCTGGTATTAAAAACTAAACCACTTCAGCATTAATGTAATGATCTTGAAAATTAATCTGTGTTCATGGATAAGCAAACTGTCACATATATATTTATGTACATCCATACATATTATATTATCACTCACACTGAATGCTTAAAACATTATTATACTGCCAACAGAACTTCCTCTTGTGTTTAAAAGGCACCAGACAGATGTGACCAGTATCTCAGTTGACACAAACAGAATAAAAATCTCAGTGCCAGATGTGATGACTTTGATGGAGGACACTCACAAAAGGATGTGCATTCCCACCACGCACAGGTATTGATTTCTGTGCAGTTGAAGACTATGGCACAATGTATGGGGAGTGGTATGGAGATTCTATAAGGAAATTTGATTCTGGAATTCCGTATCTCAGATTTTTTTTTCTTTCTTTTTAAACTCAGTTGCACTTTTAAAGTAACTTTTTGGGGACAATGACTGCCGAACTAGACAGAATAGAACTGATGTAGATCATATAGAACAGTCATTAAACTGGTCATAAAGAAGTACTTCTGGATGACCTGAGCATTTTTTTTACACTGACAATGCGAATAGACAATTACTGATGTGCAAATAGGAAAGTAAAGCCTGACTGGCAAAAGGGAGATTAAAGAGTTAAAAGGCAATGTTAATCTCTGCTTGTTACTTCTTCCTTAAATGCATCAGTAATAGTTGATCCTTTCTTGAGTGAACCTGCTTGGACTGCTGTGGTATTCATGTCACATCGCCCTCAGAGGATGTTCCTGCTCGCCCTATTCCAATCCCGCAGTGAAGGATATAACCTTCTGCCAGAGACTGGCAGATGTGGAACTCCACATCTCTATTGTCCACGACTCTCCTGTACTGGGAGCCCTGGGAGCCAGCACTCCAACTGTGTCTCCCCAGTGCTGAGCAGAGGATCATTTCGCTTGATCAGTTGGTGACTCTCTGCCAGCTGCAGGCCAGGAGGCTGCAGTCCTGCTTTGTTGCAGGGGCGTGTCACTGACTTGTTGTCAAGACACTAAGCATTAGAAAGCCCTAGTGATATTCTTTCCAGATCTGCTCAGAACTTGAATAAAAACTAGGTGATTGACCCTACAAAGGTTCCCACAAAGTCCTGTATATCTTGGGACAAGACTGTGTAATATAATCCATAAATATTCAAACATAAAGCAGCTGATGCACAAATCCTGTACTGACCCTGCCGTAAGTTTCATTGCCAATGCATGCACGATAAATAAGGCAAAAATCTGCTATGAAAAATGATGCTTTAACCAAACCCTATAATATAGGATGAATATAAAGTAAGTTTAAATACTATTAGTACATTTTATTTTCATGTAACCTTGCAAAGTTTTCTTCTCCTAATTAACTTAATGTTGCTTTCATATGTGCCCATCTAATATTACATTTCCTTAGAGAGAAGTGAGGAAGGTATCAGTAAAAGCTGTACAAAAAAATACACACAAACATGTACCCACCCCCATACATGTGCATAGGCTTCTCTCTCAAAGTGTTTTAGTAGATAGAGTTTTTTCCAATTATGAAATAAAAAAAAAAGGTAGATGTTTTGTCCAAATTTATAAGTAGGTATTTTTCTGTAAATATATGCACTTTAAAGTATATAGATGCAAATGACATATTTTATTTTACGCATTTATGAAAATCTGAAATAACTTGAAAATTCACTATTAACCTATTGGCCTATTTTTTCCTAAAGTAATACCTAAATATATTTATAAACTGGCACAACTATTGAGAAGGCAAAAGAAAAATCCCATTTTCTAGTGTAAAAGCCTGTAAAAATTTAATGAATTGGACATATTACAGAGGACCCGCTTCTGTGACTCTGTGATTGAACCACTGATTATCTAACACCATTAGACAGTCGTGGGTTTAGAGGAAAAATAAGATTACCTTCATGTACCATAATAAACTCCATGTAAGACTATGCTCTAATTGTATTTTTCCATTTATGATGCAGCCTATAAGCTATGTTTAATTAAAATTCTGTGTTGACCAGTAAAACAGAATTGCTAGAGCAGAAACCCCAGGCTGCTGCCTGTCAAGTACGGAAGATAAGGTTAGTGGAGTGTAGTTTACTACAGAGGTTCTATAAGAAGAATATTCTGCTACATTAGCTTTCAGGAGCACTGTGATTATTTTTCATTACATTAAATAGTGGCATCTATTCCATTTTTCACTACTGAAATAAAAGATTACAGGACAGAAACACTTTAGTGCTTCATAAAACAGGAAGCTAAGCATTTGCCAAATTAGGGGTGAGGGCATTACAGTTTCTCTTTTTGATTTCACTGTGCCCAGGGATGATCATTAGGGATGCAAGTGAATAGTAAACATTTGTAAAAGAGAATTGTTATAAAACACTAGTGAAGGAGATTACTGATGGCCACCACAATTTAAATTGGGAAGGGAGCTATATCTTACAGCTGATACTCATTTTGTAGCACTACTATGCTCATTCATGTACAATTTTTGCAAGTACTGGATTCATGAATACTGTGCTATAATATCAAGTCTTCACGAGCTCAACACTTCTACCATTCATGTATTTCAAGTCTATTGACTACTAGAGGCTTTCTCTGTATAGAAGAAAAAAGCCTCTACGTCTCCCCTGCCCCAATCTTCAAGAACTAATATCCTCTTATCATCTATTGCTGGGCCTGTTCAGTAATATTTATAAAATCACCACTTAAAAATCAGTAATAGTTTTTACAGTGGTTGCAATGCTGACACCATGACTGGATGTAAAGGTGCCGGATAATCTGTATAGAGTGTTTATATCCTCCAGTTTTCACATTTCGTGCTTTATTCCTTAGTAGAAAAGCAGCATCTAGCCAACATCAAGCAGTAATAAAAAAAAAAAAAACAAAAAGTGCAGAAGGACCTGCACTTCTAAAAGTTTAATGCCCAGTGGTAATGAAAGCCTTCATATTTTCAAGGAAAGAAAGAAAGGAAAGAAAGGAAGAAAGAAAAGAAAGAGAGAAAGAAAGAAAGAAAGAGAAAGAAAGAAAGAAAGAAAGAAAGAAAGAAAGAAAGAAAGAAAGAGAGAGAGAAAGAAAGAAAAGAAAGAAAGAAAAGAAAGAAAGAGAAAGGAAAGACTAATATGAGGTCACTTTAATAATCAATTGTAGTGCCTTCTCATCACAGACTGCTTATGCTAATGGCCCAGATGCTCTTATTCTGCCTTCTGAAAGCTGTTGCATTTCAGAATGATTTTTGATGGTGCCATTTAGCATTCTCTGGGGACAGAGGAAGAAGTACATTTTGGATCTCAATGTGCCAAGATGAAAAAGCACATTACCAAGCCCAAAGATTAATTTTTCTGAAGTTTATCGCGTACTAACTGTGTTAAATGGAATAAAAACCTCTCAAGGTTTCAGAACAACAGCCAGCATTGTGTTACTACCTTACTGACAGGTTGGAGAGAAAGATTAGAGCATATTTTTTGACTCAGCTGCAATCAAAATATTTGTATAGTACAAAAGACTATAGCATGAGAGAGAGAGAAAAAATATAATGCTTACTGTTACTGAAAATGCTGTCAATAAGGATATGGAAGCTGTGGAAGTCAGCATGAGTCTGGTTCACCTGCCTTGTTAACACCCAAGCACAGGCCAGAAATTCTTTTCTAACCTATATATGAGACTTTTCAGAAAAATACTATCTTTTCACTCAACAGCCTGTGTTTGTTTTATCTCTTGCTTTCCCCTTTATCTCTTCTTTCTCCCTGTTTCAAATCCAGCTTTGCCTTTTCAAGTCAGCTACCTACTACAGAGGGTACCAAAAGAGCTGGGTTAAAAGTTACAAAACACTGTGCAGCTCCACAGTACAATGCAGTGTCACACTCTTCCAGTTTCTTTAGGAGATAGTCTTTGTGAATATTTACCTGTAGGTCTAAAGCAGTGTTCCTCACTACATAGCTTACACAAAAAAACCCCATTGCCTGTAATACCCTGAGGCACAGCACACAGACTCTCAGGGAGCGGCTGCTGCTCCTGGCATGCTGTGCTGCTCCCTCAGGAGCTGAGGGCTGGAGATACCTGGTTTGAATACTTCTATTAGTGCACGTCCACATTGCCCAGCTGATACATGAAGCATATTGTAGTTGTGCTGCTGCTGCTCCTGAATACTCTCATACAGCAAAAAGAGGATAACACTGCTCACTGAAAATCAGGACTTAACCTACTACCCACATACCTGTGTGAATTCTATTAGGTCACCTATCTGCATACCACCTGGGAGCTCCAAAAACAGTACAAAAATCGACAGGTATATACTGTGGTAACATTCTTTATACTACCTCAATAGGTT